TAAAAATCCTGGATTAAAAAAAAGATTAATTTATCCATTTTGTATCTAACGAATTCACATTTCTTAATTTCGTACTTTCTTTCTTTATTTTACGTGATAATGGCTCTACCTTATTAATTTCATAAATTATTGGAATTCTAATTTTTGTTGAAACTATTGACTGAAGAAATTGATAATAAATAAAAGATATATTTATCGAAAAAGATACTAAGAATTTTATTAACTTTATAATAAGTATTCGTTAGTAAAACTCGATGAAATGAAATAACTGACTCTGTTTTAATATTGATAGAAATGATACCAGGCGAACCCTTTATCAAAGCATATTTTCAAAAGCATTGAGGCAGTGTTTCAATTTATTGCTTTGATTAAAAAATCCACCTACAGCAAAGTATCTTCTTGCACGTAAAATTTAATACATTCTCATACGGAAAACATTGAGTTTTATATTTCATATTGTACTAAAGTTTATCATATGACGGTCATGTAAAAGGTTCAGTATTATTATGCAGGAAGAAATGAAATTACGTCGCCATTATCGTTGCACATAAGAGTTACTGCTTTTATAGCAACGAAGTCGGAGGTTATTCGACTTCTACGCTAGAAGTTCAAAATTGTCAAATGAAATCACTTCTGTCTGTTATTTTTATTCAAATTTATTTTGTATTACATTAATTCATGTATGTAATCATACTTGTATGGATATTTTTCAAGTATTTATATTGAATTCCTTATACTATAATATAGTATATGGACTTATAAATAATTACCATGAACATATTTTTAAACATATATTTTCAAACTAATTATTAAAATCTCCACGTGCAAGAAGACCTAGCCTGAATTAATAAATATAACACAGAAAGAGTAATGTTACTATTCACGAGTACAATAAGTATTCGCGATCATTATGTTCGCCAAAAATTCTACTTAATACAACCAGCCACCCGTGTCGACTCGGATCTTTCATGTTACGACATGATCGAGTGACCAGAGAAACAAAAATGTATATGACTCACGATTAGATGCGATGAACGTTACCATCGGTGATGCACTAGCCCGGAGAAAATTATCACCAAGCAGGAACCATCGAAGTCCATGGTGGAAACGGAGGATGTAAAAAATCTACCTGTTACAATGCGTGGTATATTATAATTTCTTTTTAAAAATATAACGTTGATTATTTAAAAAGTTTAAGAACATGAAAAACAAATATTTAAACTTGAAATAAAATACTTCCTAAATTTATAATAGAATTGTACTTCCTAATTAATAATAATTACAATATTAAAATTAAATTACAATAAAGTAAGAAAAAAGAAGGCGAGGTAGAGAATTAATCAATGTTGCAATTCCTTTCTGTACCTCATCTGTGTTATAATCTGAATTTATCCTGAATCGATAACACTGGTAGTGACATTTATTACAACAGGCAAATACGCTTTTCCCGATGCTTGATTATGAAGAAATTTTATTAACAAGTATTGTTAACATAGAAAACCTAACATCCATTTATGGTATATATCAGGAATTTAAAAATAAAAATATCTATGTATGTATTTATGTATATTAAACGTCGATTATCGACGCAGTTAATTGACCTGGAAGTGAAATCAAATGTCTGTTCTCCCAAGCTTCTTTCGATAAGACCGTCATTATAATATTTTTACACTCTAAGAAAAGATATCAACATAATTTTTAATTTAGGTTTTGACCATTTTAATCATATAGGAATGTAGCAAACGAGGCATTATTATTTCTGCTGATTCTATCAACTTTGGTGATTGAATTCAATGTATGTATGTATATAATCTCTAGATTCTTACATTCAGCACTCAAAACCATAGAGGGCACAAACAAACCCATTGATTTTTTGCACGATCGGTATTTCAGGAAATGTAACACGAAATCCCATAAGGTGTTGAATCTATCGTACACCTTATCTGTGATAGTTACATTAGTGCGCCATAAATGATGTAAGTTACCGCGTGTCTACCTCTAACATTGACTTTCACTGATTTTTTTAAGAAGATACGCGTTCATGTGGGTGTACATGAACGTTGGTGTTTGTGTGACAGAACCTACGCACAGTAGGTGAGGTCATATACCCATTCGCTCGTACAGGTGGTTCCTCCTCCATTCACGCCGTGCAGTCACTCTGTAAAGCGAGTGTATGACACCATCTCTCAGGGAATCTCGATTTAATTTTCATTAGTGCATCTCGCTAGGATGACAGATAACGCGTTAAGTATTAAATACTCAGTGACGATTGTACTGGTGTTCGCGGTCACACAAACATATAGTAATTACACGGAAATTGATCTGCCGCCTGATCACATCAAATATTACTTCAACTCTTTTCCCACGGTGGCCGAAGAGTGCCGTAATAATACCGCCTGTCCATACAAGGTAATACACGGTTTGTTAATAACGTGATTCTGTTAGGATTTATTGATTAAAGGAGAAATTATATGCCCGGTGTATTTCTCATTGTTATTTCGTTTTCATTATTTGCACGAAAGCGTAATACGATAGTCGTGGAAGCATTGGACACACGCGCAAACACTTGTATAAAATTCGAGCTTACGAAAGATATTAACGAAGAATTTTTCTTGGAAAAACTTAGGATAGCCTTGATACCAAAGCTTGTTGGGGTTACGAGCCGAATTGCAAAGCCGAAAATTCTTTTTCCGTTCCTCAATGTCCAGGTGATCACAGAGGATGGGTAACAACGAAAAAAGCACAGGTAGAGACATTTTACGCTCAAGGCGATTTTGGCTACGTACGCGACCAAAGGAAAGAAATGTCGATATTTTGCAAACCATTGTTTGTGGTAAGTTTCACTAAATTAAAAGAAATATATGCTTTCTTTTATTTCTTATTTCATACTTTCGATCATAGGACGACTCATCGCTAGAGTGTTCGGAGCACATGAGATTTTGTCGAGCAAGGAACATAATGATCAATTTCACGGATTTAATTCAAAGAAAGGAACCTATACGATACAAGATGGATGTTCTGAAAGAGGGCCAAATTGGAGGATATTGCACGTAATTAAAGCAACGCGTTAATCAATTACTTTTATCTCGCTTAGTATTCATATTATCTCGGTCATCCAGATTAAATGAGAAAAGATTGCAAGAAAACGCGGACCATATTAGCCCATTGCAATCTTGGGGACCTGAATTGCGAAATTTCCGGAAATTACCTCGACCGCCGATTGTCAACCACGACTGTGATATCGTGATCGAAAAGCCAACGTACATAATGAAAATAGACGCTAGTAAGTCGTAAAAAATGATTCTCCCGATTAATGACTGTGATGCAAAATTCGTCGAACACGCAAGTCATTCTGTTTCAGTAGTAAATATGTATCATCATTTTTGCGACTTTTTCAACTTATACGCGTCATTACACGTAAACCTCTCGCACCCCGCTACATTCAGCACTGATAATCATATAATGATCTGGGAAAGCTACAGGTAACTGACACCGGTGCAATACGAAAACTACGAGATACTAGATACCATGAGTTCTCTCTTACTTTCAGCTACCGTTCTGCATTCCAAGACGCCTTCCAGGCTTTCACGAGAAATCCGCTCTGGGATTTACATACGTTCCGCGGAGAAACCGTCTGCTTCAAGAATCTCGTGTTTCCCCTATTACCACGAATGATTTTTGGTCTTTACTATAATACACCTCTTGTACGATTACTCATTTTTTGTTTCTTGAGATCACGATCATAAGGTCAAAGCAATTTTTGTATCAATGGATACGCTTTTAGATTTATGGCTGTGAAAAGAGCGGATTGTTTAAAGCTTTCGGCGACCACGTGTTACATAGATTACGTATACCTCATCACGAAAGAAAGAACCAAAGGATACGTGTTACTTTACTTAGCAGAGATACTCAATATAGAAGAATTTTGAACGAGGATGAATTAACAAAGGCTTTGAAGGAAAATCCGGAGTATAAAGTGCGAAAGGTAGAGAGGTTCTAATAATATGGCATAAGAAATTAATTAAGGTGTTAAATAAATATAATTACAATATATTTAAAACATGTTTTCCTTCTCAGGTAGTATACAATAAAAAAATATCATTCAAAAAACAATTAGAAATTACAAGAAACTCTGACATTTTTATTGGAATACATGGAGCTGGATTAACGCATCTTATGTTTTTGCCAGATTGGGCTGCAGTATTTGAGATGTAAGTATAACAGACATGATTTCCCACGGAAATGTATCTCATAAATAATTACTGTGCAGATATAATTGCGAAGATCCAGGATGTTATAAAGATCTCGCCCGTTTACGCGGTGTGAAGTACTTTACATGGGAAAATGCCTCAATGCTAGTGCAACAAGATCCCGTAAGCGATTGTATTCCAAATAAAAAAAAATTTCTTCAACATTTATTGCAAGACTAATTGAAATTCTGTACAGGGTACACATCCTGATGGAGGAGCACACGCAAAATTCACTAACTACAGTTTTGATGTCAAAGAATTTTTACGTATAGTTTCACAAGCTACGGATTATGTGAAAAATCATGATTTGTTCAAAAGATTTATCAGTAGACGATTACAACATAAGAGAACAGGAACGAAAAATCAGACTAGAACAACAAGTGATGTAAATGCAACTCCGAAGTCGAAGAAAGTAACCAACTTGAAATCTGACATTCAATCCAAAGATGAATTATGATAAATATTTTAGGTAATGTGTTTCGATGACAACGAAACCTCTGAATAATAGGCTCACGATTATTAGTATTAATATCGAGTGAAAGAAACGACTTGTTACCAACTAAACTTTTTACTTATTTTTATACAAATATATGTATATACTTATTTTAATAAAAAAAGAGGAGCAATAAATATGGAATACAATTTGACATGTCTACGCAATGGCAGTGTAAATATTTCGAAGTTACTAATTGTTCACGCTGATTCGTTATTTAATTATACGATATAGAAAAGTGCATACTCTACAATCAGTACAACGAATTGTACATTTGTATTTATAATTTAATTTGTACCTGTTTTCTGTACAATAATAAAACCGATAATATATTTACAGCCATGTATGCAATCAATATTAGCAAAGCTTTTAAGTGACTTAAATATAACGTACGTACTAACATATTAATCGCGCCAGTCATTAAGTTTGACAATAAAAAGAAAAATAGACCATTGTAATTTACAGCTTCGAGTATTTCAATTATATTTTTATTCGTATCTTTCTCGCATTTATCAGGCACACTATCTCGCTTACTTTTTACATTCATTTTACATGTTTTTGTCTTCTGGTTAAGTTTCGAATCTATGGTTGCATGAATTAATATGTCACATATTACTTCTATCAATAGTAATAACGTAAGTACCATAACACCTAAAGTAAGAATCCACATACAATAACCTGCATTTGCTAATCGTCTAGATACTCCAAAATATGCATCGCAAAATAAAGTAGCTGCACATGTTTGCGCTGATATCAAGGACAATTTAATGCATAAAATCATAGACTGATTATAGTGCGCATCAAATTCATATCCAAATAATTTAATATGAAATGTTTTATGCCTATGTAGTAACGAATCTTGTGCATGTGAATTCTGATAAGTAGAATGTATTAACCTACCAACTGCTACACCTATTAGATAAAGCCCAACATATCCAGGTACAGATACCACACCTTCCCGATTAGCAGATATAAAATCATTCCTTGGTCTATTACTCAAAACCCATTCCTTCAACCCCTTAGTACTCAAAACATATTCATGCATTCCTAAAATCCAAATTCCTGATAACAGTGAGTACTTTGAATTGATAGTACTTGTTATAGAACTAGTAAATAATTTAACAAAGGCAAGAGTAATAAAAAAATTCCAATGAATCCCATATTCAGTAACATGCTTCTGATAACCTAAAACTTCAATGGCAACAGACCTGCTAAAGCCTAATATTAAAAGTGGAATACAACTTCTTGCTGAATGCTTTATATTTTTTGATATAGTATGGAAAAAGCCTATTCTAGGTTTAAGAGCAAAGTCTTTGGCTTCTGGAGCCACTAAAGCATTAGCAAATATAAATAACCCGACACCAGTATCCATTAAACTATACCCAAACAATTCAGTTTTGGCAAATTTACGAGGAAAAATGTGAAAATCTATCGCTAATATACATATTGCTGTTATTAAGTTAGTGAATGCTCTAAAATTTGTAATGAAGGGCCTTTTGCCATTAGCCGGTCTCATATTGTACATTGATGTAACATCAGAATTAATTCCTAATAATAAAATATTAATAATAGATATTATAATCATGGCACAACATACTGTAACAACATAATCAGACAATACAGTACAACATAAAATACATGGCATTACAATTAACGCAAATTCTATTATAACCCTAATATTTTTATGAATAATCCGTCCTAAAAGACCCATTGCAGTTTTAGTTAAAAGAATACTACAAATATTTGGCATGAGTGCATATATGACCTCTCTGGAGGTTGTTCCACCATGACCAGAAACAAATGCTTCTTGTTCTTGGCGATAGATATTTCTATTCCATGTATTTGACATATTTATGCAACGAATAATTATTTGTCCTGACAAAAAATCTGTAAAGAAACAATATTTATTGGTAATACAGAATACTACGAAAATCCCAACGTACTTGGAAGAACATTATCTGAATATCTACCTCAAAATATTGCATTTTACGCAAACTGCAGTTACAAATAATTCAAGTCGATCAGTATTTTAAGTTAATGACAATGTCTATAGAGACATAGACAGAGTGCGAAAGTCAAATATTGCCGTGTAAGTGAATGGTAGAAAGGAATAGAAAGAGAACGCTGCATAGAGGTCGCTTCTGTCTTTGCCAAATCAGCATGCTCACTTATACCCCTCATTGATCAGTGTTACACGTTACATTTATAATTTATTGCGTGACTGTGCGTGCATTATTAGATAAGAGATCAAGGGGACAAGGGACCTCCATGATTCGTTCTCTTTCTACTCTATTGCTTTTTCAGCTCGCTCACGCACTCTATTTTTATATGTATGGTCTGTCCAATGAGACGAGGCAGTAAACGTAAACAAAATTTGATTACTGTGGCTGCAATTATTGGCTACTGACTAGTGACACTCGAATGATACTAGTCGGTAGCCAATAGTTGCAGCCACAGTAATCAAATTTTGTTTACGTTTACTGCTTCGTTTTGTTGGACAGATAATATGTATCTCTGTAATAACCGAAACGTATACAATAAGCAATAGATGACGCTACGACTCATCTTAATGTCAGAAATCTAACTTAAATCGTTCAAACTAAGGAACGCATTTTCTTCACGCTTAATTTTGATAGAAATAATCAGATTTTAATGATAAATAATATATCTGAACATTATAAATTGATTGAAAATAAACAATACAAAATCCAAACTACAACACAACTGATACAGTGTATAGAACAATGTACAGAAAAATCTGAGTACTATGTTGTGTCCAGTATGCAGAAAAGATTACTCTATAGATGATGTAGAAAATCATATTGGTTAATGCTTTGGTTCAATTGATATGATTTTAATGGAAACATTATCAACAGCAAAGAGATCTCTTTCATATGAAGATATTAATCAAACAAATCCACTAAAGAAACACAAAGCCAATACAGTGATTAATATAACAAATATGAATCAACAGAAATCATTACCAAATAAAGAATTCATTTCTCTTTCTGAAAGAATGAGGCCTACATGCATTGATGATTACATAGGGCAGGAAAAAGTTATTGGATCTCACACAATACTAAAACAATTGCTAATAAAAGGGCATATTCCTAGCATGATATTTTGGGGTCCACCAGGATGTGGAAAGGTAAGATATTTACAAATTTGTATCATTTTCTAATTATTGATACTTATTTCTTGAAATATTTTTCAGACATCTTTAGCTAATGTTATATCAAAACTAATTAAAGAAATACATGGAGAAAAAGTACATATTAAAAATCTTTCTGCAACATCCTCTGGTGTGAGTAATATCAGAAATATTGTTAACACAACAAAAACTAAATCAAAATTGAACAATCAAGTTATTGTATTTATGGATGAAATACATCGCTTTAATAAACTGCAACAAGATATTTTTTTACCACATATTGAGGCAGGCACATTTACTCTAATTGGTACAACTACAGAGAATCCATCTTATAGCTTAAATTCTGCTCTGCTAAGTAGATGCCGTGTATTTGCTTTAAATAAGTTAACGGTATCAAATATTGTAGATATTCTTTGTAAAGCCATTTCATCTATTAACGGAGAAATATATAGTTTTCCACAAAAAACTTTATTGACTAATTTAAAGTATAGTTTAAGCTGTAGTTCTAAACCATGTTTCTCCATTAATCAGATGGTAATTGATTGGCTAGCAGAGGTATGTGATGGAGATGCACGTGTTGCATTAAATAGTTTAGAACTGGCAGTTAAAAGTAAAATGTCAAACGAACTAAGTTCTTCTCATCTTGTTTCAATAACTCTTGACGATGTTAAAGAAAGTCTTAAACAAGCACATACATTATCTGATAAACATAATAATACTCATCATTTATATTCTGCTTTACACAAATCAATAAAAGCTGGCAAAGAAAACGCATCTTTATATTGGTTAGCACGGATTATGGCAGTTAAAGAAGATCCAGTGGATGTAGCAAGAAGATTAGTAAGAATATCAAGTGAAGATATTGGTTTAGCAGACCCTGACGCTTTAGGTATATATGATTAATAACAGTTTATTTATTAATGCAGGAAAATGAAAAGCTTGCAGTTGTCTTGAAACAGAATGCACTTTGAAGTAAAACTTTGTAATATTTTATTCTAATTAAAATGACATTTTTATAAGGTGCACATTGATCTTTTTGGGTGAAATATATTAAAATATATTGATAAGTGACTTAATATTGTAATGAATAGCACAGTAACATAAGGGATTAATTTTAAATTCTAGGCATAGCTGTTCATACTATGCATGGATGTCATATGATCGGAATGCCAGAATGTGATGTGATTTTAGCACAATGTGTCATATATTTAACTAGAGCACCAAAGTCTCAACTTGTGTATAATGCTTTAAAATCTGCTAAAAATATAATTATAAACCACAAAGATCCACAACCTAGAGTACCAGTACATATCAGAGATAGTACGGGACAAGAAAAACATTATGCTATTTTTGGTAAGATATTAAACATTTAACATAAAATTTTATCATTTTCTCTTATTATTATTTATAGGTTGCCAAGAAGCAAATTTATTGCATAAAGAGAAAGGCGTTCAAACTTACCTACCATTTAGCTTACAGCATGTTGATTTCTTCTCCGAAAGTTGATAAATTCTTTATATCGCCCAACATATTTTCTTCTAAAAACATTTTTAATTTGTTTTACCTACACAAGACAAATTCTACTTCATACACATTGAAATAAATAAAATAAAGTTATATAAGTCTAATTTATTGATAAGTCGAACGTATTTTACTGAAATTACAAAATCGCATGAACTACTATTAAAATTTGAATAACAATTAATAACAATGAAGAAGAGTTACGACTTACCTCGCTGCCAACGTCAACATTACGAAATGATTATATGAGAAAGTACAATTAAATATTAAAACCAGAAAACTATTGAAATTGTTTACTGATTTGAAGTAACGAAGAAGTAAAAAGTAAACAGAAGCAATAATCTTGACAATATAAAAAATTATAGTTCACTGTTCTAACGAGATGATTTTCGGATGTAATCCAACGTGACTTCCTCGTCCGAACGTTTTTGAATTAATAGAAAGTACCGCCTAACGATAGACCAATCAGATTCAATTGAAAAATTTGCAAGAAGAATAGCCAATCAGATTGAATTAGAGAAAACCTCATTGGTTGTGAAAATATTGCAAGTAATATAACATTTTTCAATTGTTATTCTTTTGAAAAGAGTACATATATTTACCGTTGTTCTTCTCAAATTATATTTTGCAATAATGCCACTCACCGTCTTCCTTTGATTGGTTAAATGCTTACACGATCTATTTATACAAAATACAAATAAATATTAAAATTTTAAAATATTAAAATAATAAAATATTAAAATATTAAAATATTACTTCAATTGTTTAACTAAAATTACTAAAGGAAACTTTTTATGACTAAATTAAACGTGATTTGATTAGTTAATATTTTTGAATTAATAGAAAGCAGCGCGCTGTGATAGACCAATCAGATTGAATTGGAGACAAGCTCATTGGTTGCTAGAAGCAGGTATACCAACTCTTGGTGGATCAATATACATTATACAATAAAAGTGGAGACCTTTCGTACTGTCTTTTATATTACATCAGGTTTTGGAATTGGTAGATGAACCTTGTAGTACTAGAGAGTAATGTTTTCGTGTGATTATTAACAATTTAAATTATAGTCAACCATACGTTATATTGAAAAATTCTATAAACATGAAGTTGTGGACATCACACCATACTTTTGAGTAAGTTTTCTTTGTAAATATTTTCTCATTTCTAACTGTCAAAAGTAGAATATAGAAATGCTTTATCATATGCTCTTGTCAGAAAAAAATTATATGACAGAAAATTTCAATCTGCTTTATGATTGTAGTCATCCATGGGACACTGTTGTGAAAGCAGCATGCAGAAAGTATCCAAATCCTTTAAACCCATCGGTTTTGGGTACAGATGTCATCGACAGAGAAGTCAGGGACGGTGTTCTCTATTCTCATAGATTGGTCACCACTCAATGGCGTTTTCCTAAATGGCTATCACCAGTAAGTATTGTAAATTATAGTTAATGAAGTTATTCATTTCATGTAGTATTGAACATAACCTCTCTAATGAACTCACGTTTTGCAACTATATAGAATTTAATTTAATGGATGTAACTGAACAGAATTCGATAAATAATGTACAGATTTATAAATATGTATATGTCTTTAACATATTGTCATTGAAGTTTAATCATATGATTATGTGTAACTAGAATGCTATAGTATGAAATCTGTAATACAATTTATATATTAGTAATAGAAGTACAAAGGTTATTTATAAGCTTTCTTCTTTCTTTAAGTATTAAATCCTTAGATTCATGAATATTTCAAGTTTGAGATAATCATATTATTACAACGTATTACAATGTGTTATATTATTAAATTATTTTAGTTTATATTATATTATACCATCGAAAAGATTTTTTACTTTTATTTGCTATCATCTTATTTTGAAATACTGAGTATTATTTCACATAAAAAGATAGAGGTTTTTGAATAGTTTAAAGTTTAAATTCTCATCTTGCAATGCATGACGGTGATTGATGTGTTAGAGAATGTTTGTTTGTTTCAATTATTCTATATCAGGAAGTATAATTACTTTACTTGTGATGCATATCTAGCTAATCATTCTGCAAAATTCCATTTGCCTCAAGGTTCTAAAATTTTCCATTATGTCAGTTTTGATTCTTACAGTTACCACGTTAGCGCTAGCGTCGATTAAGATTGTTCATGTTTCAGTTAATTTTCTGGCTGAGGAAAATTTAGAAACGGCTTAGCTTATCGATTTTCAGCAGTGAGCGTCGTCATAGATATGTTATATACAAATTATTCCTGCATCGCTGATGTTTATCGAAATCGACCTTCTCATCTCTCTTCCTGTCTCAGCCGCGAAGAACTTATCGTGTTAACTTATTTTGGAAATTATAAATATCAAAGAGATTTATTTATAATTGCATTTACAATATAATATGAATACGTCGATACGAGTAATTACGCTCGTAATACGTTAGAAGGATTGGCAAAATGCCTCTCAGTGCAAGTTAAGATACGTTTATACTTGCGTAATCAATGATTTTCCTTACTTAAATGTAGCATAGATTTACATTTGGCGCGTGCAAGGTCTTCGTTACGTTGTTCCTACTTTCTAAATAGATTATGCGTTTCTATAATCAGACATCGGTTAACCCTCAATTAGATAACATATATCTGTTACATAATTGGCTTAGTAACAGTGATCTTGACGTACCAGAAGCGTCCAAGTTAATGCCAGGCTAATCCTTTTTACAGAAATTATATAGCTTATGAACATATTGGCAAACCGTAATATTAAATTAATACATTATATCAATGTAGTAGACATAGAGCATGCAAAATGCTAGATAGACAATTATAGTCGTTTTTCCCCTATTCTATATTCACTTGTTCAGTAAGTACTTTTCATACATTACAGTCTTACTCTAAACTAAGCCTAAAATATCATGTACATGTATCCAACAGTGGAGTTTATCACGAAGTTTGGATATCGTAAGAAATCAATCTACACGGGGTGTTATGCATTCCTTCTTTGCCGGATAACAGTTTATAGGCAAAACAGTTCCCTGCCGTTTGACCAAGCAATCTATACAAACAGCGGCAGTAGCTAGCAGGAAATTCGAAACTTTCGACAACGTCGAGCAAGAAGAAGATGCGGGGTGGACTCGGGTTCGAGACTAGAGGGAATTACAAAACAACGACACCGTATCAACTTTCATAATGAGCGCTCCCACCAATGTTACGCTCTTTGGCAATCATCCAGCTAGGCGCCTGCGTTTTGGAATATAGACTGGCCTCCCTTAGAACCTCTTCTCTCAGTCCTGTTTCTTCTTCAGCCAACGGAAGATCCCAGCTTCGAATCCTTTTCGGCTCGGCGAATTGCTTCCTTTCGCAGGATTTTCTATAAGCTTGGCCATTTCGCAAAGCCATCTTGTTGTGCTAGCGCTCTCGCTCGAATGCCTCGAATCACAGTTTTGTATATAACGAATGCATAGTAGGTGGAACGAAAAGATAGAAAAGAGGGAGAAAGGTATCGCCTTCACGTTTAGGCACTCTTGAAATTACTTGACGGAAGGGAAAGTGCAAAGACTCGTTTCGACTTGAGTTAGCTACCTCCTTCCTGTTTTTCTTTTAGTTTTTCCCTTTCTCTTCTACCAGGAGAACGAATTCGTCGAGCCTGCTGCTGCATCGACGAAAATTTTTGACTAATTAACAGATGTACTCAAATAACAAGTTTCGTTGTATATTCGAACATTAACCGATGCGGGAATGACTTTATAGACGTTGTAATAATTGACTGGGTCGCGCAATTAAAGTATAATTAATCAGAGGAACATAATTAATTAGAAGCGAACAGTAAGTCATAAACACAGGTAGACTTATGAACTTGCTTTTAAATTAATTTAATATGCTTTGATATAAATGTAAATGTATAGTGATGTAGATGTTGTACTTTTATTGATAAAATTAAATTACTCTAATTTGTCGTATCTTTGTTATATATTATATAACATTGAAAGATTTAACAAATTCATATCTTGTTGTTATGCGAACATGCTGCACCTTCGAAAGAAATTCCTCTCATTTTATAGATAATTGAATCAGCAAATGCTCCATGTATATTGATATTATTATCGCTTGCAGTTTGTACTCTTTGAATGAATCTTCGTGAAAAAGAATTTTGTTTGTTCTTGTTGCAGTTCTTCGGTCATCAAGGTCCATACTACGCCAGCGAATGGAGCGAAGTAAATCCAGAATCTAAAGAAATGGTAGTCCGAACGGTAAACGTAAGTTGATTAATAATTCTGTATTATTTATTTAGATTACTTTAATGTAATGTCAATTGTCAAACAATTTTTCAATTAGTGAAATACTTTGAGAGATTCACGATTACATTAGGACGATACTTCACATTAACGCTCCGTTAACAAGTTGCCCCGATATGCAGAAATAGTTCCACGGCTCGTTCCCACTTAATTCATATTGTTAATCGAAATATCGTGTATAATGTTTAATCAGTCGAATGAGAACTCCTATGAAGCATGCTTTTACGGAGATTTCATTACATTTGCTCTTTATTACTCACATATTACTCGACAAAGTGCTCTGACCGCATTTGTAATTTATCTTCGTGAAACGAGATAAATGGAGGATGAATAAATCGATATCGAAGGTGCAAATGTTGCTTCGTATCGGATCGTTGAATCGTATTATATTCGTATCGATCTAATTGAAACGAATAATTCGACGATAAAGCCTGCGAAAGAACGGATGCTTCTTTAATATTAAACATGCACACGTTGGTATTCGAGCATTTTAATGTTTCACACCATCGATATAGTTACTCCTTTTTCGTACTTGCATTAGCAATTCATTTGAGCAGTGAAAATAAATTTGATGAACGAAGTGCAATGCATACACACGTGCTGCTCGTGTGCCCGTGTAATCGAACAATCAATATATTCTCAATTCCATTCGAGTCGAGATCAGCAAGAATAATTGGAAAATAGGTTGGTGGAATTTCATCTGTAGCATTACACTCCGTTTTTTTTGACGACCCATTCTCATCGTGTATACTTGTAATACACGGTATAATTGAAAAACATGTTGACATACGTGAGTAATTTTATATTTTGAAAAATAACTACAAACAAAAGTGTCACCATCGGTCTTCCTGTTCTTTTTCACGGAAATATTTACCGCGGTGAAAATTATGGACGCGTAGAGCTTGTAGCTCGAGTAGTAGATACATTTACTCGAGTTACAAGCACGAAAAGATCGGCACATCGTAGAGTCTGGGCGTATAGCATCGCATCGCATCGCATCTAGAAGGTTGGATATGATAGGTTATTGATGCGCGCATTACCGGGAGTTGCATAGCTTCGTGGTCTCTTCGGAGGGACGTGCCAGGAGGGTTTTAGGAAGACAGGGCGGAAAACGGCGAAGGAAAGGGAACCGAAGCATTGCTCTCTTGCTACGCGTCGAAGATCGTTCGCTCGCTTCCTCGCTCGATCCTCGGTCAAAAAAAAGGAAAAAAGGAGAAACTGGGCGGCTAGATGCATTACAGGTATGATGAACGATCCGCAGATGGCTCTGTACAAAAAGTGCAACCTTTCCATCTACAAGGAGTTGCCGTCGTGTCGATCGTTTTTACTTATCGAGTCTTGATACACGAACAAGCCTTAGTATCGGGTATTTAGACGTGCACAAATTTGTACACGGAGATGCTTTTACTGGCGCGCAAAAAAGCGTGTTTGTTTTCCATGCGTGAAGTATCGGGATAATCTTTGGAAAGAAGCGTATGTGGCAAAAAGTATTTTGAATTCGGTAATATCTGCGTTAGAAAATTTTACTAAAATATGAACTGAAACATGTGCAAATTCGCGGCTGACTTGTTACGTAAACATTAACAGCGAAACACTGGGCGCAGCTACTAGCTGTCCATTTATCAGCTGTTTTATATGTAACTCTACTGTTTGCCGTTATACATCAAGTATAAAGCGTAAACGGAGCTATCGTGAAACGAGATACAACACGGATCTCACAATACGTGCTCATTGCCTAAATAGCATGTTTGGATACATTATGCGTTGCCTGGTTCCTTTAATACGGTTAATTATTTAAAAACAGAACACATTTCGAAGCGTTATTGTATAGTGACCGGAGGTAATAAATTAAAAAAAATGGAGTTTATATTATGCAGTACCGCTGCAATGAATTCCCAGAAGTAATTCTAGAGATTCCGGATAAAATATGTCACTGTTAAACATCATACAAACGAATATAAAAGTGTAACAGGAAACCGTGCAAGAGTATACAAAAAACATGGACGTATCCTGGGAAGTAGAAAGACCCATTCGTGATCCGACATATTCGAGTGCATGCTGGTTAATTTTTGACTGTACTGTTACTAAAGGAAATGTACACGAACTTATGGATTAGTGCGATACATCAATGCACAGTGAAATAGCGCTACAGTAACGATACAAACGTGGAATTTCCTCGTCACGCGGGTCGTTCGTCTTGTACACTGTACGGAGGACACGGGCATCCACGTTCACAACCCTTGACGTCCTCTTCGCCGCTGTCGTCTTTCTAATTAAGGTGAGACAGCAGTAGGAAGCGTCGTGTGATATTTCCTCGCTGATCGTCCCACGCTTGCGTAATCTACAGGGACGCGTTTCCGCGTTTTCTGCACGCTGAGGGCTAGAGATGAACTTTAACTAAAATTGAACAATTCCCGGCGGGATGTCAACGCTTTCTCTATGCTCGGCCTGTTTGGCGAGTATAAGTGCAAGCACGCTGTTGATACGCTCGCATCCTCGCACGCGTACCAAGCCACGTTCTCTCTAATATTGAAGGGCGTACGCACCACGCGGACAAACGAACATTGTAGAGAAGCGTACCAGAGGCAATGTATTCCACATAAGCTCGAGCAGAGTCCGGGCCAGGTTATAACCTATCCCCGTCGAATCCCAAGGGGGAGATATCTTTTAGCAATTTACCCCCTCTCAGCAGGCCGTGCTGCATACGTTACACGAGATGCATACGTATCGTGCCGCCGTTTGGAACGTAATGCGGCATCGTATCGTTGAACCTAAATGCATCTGGCGCATATGCATCGAGTTCAAGCTGAACATAATGGGCTTGAGTCTCTCTAGTGTTGCTGGTATGTACTGGTCAGACTACTGGTCGGTCGTTGCATATTTTGGAGTTGATCATGGATTCAGGGATATATGCAGAGAGATGGATCTCCTGAAGAGATACTGGATGTCGGATCGTTGTTCCGATACTCTGGTGGGGATTGTTGTTCCGATACTTTGGTGGGGATTGTTGTTCCGATACTCTGGTGGGGATCGTGAAGTAGCGGAACTGTAAATATTGTGACGTTGTAGAGTCGCCTACCGTTAATCTAAAACAATGCCTGCGTTAGCGTCTGGGGAATCACGTTGCAATGAATACAACCGATCGGCAGAAAAAACGATGAAACATTCTCCCGGTGGTGCAGGTGGATGGATGATATTATCGGATTATCAAACGGACACACTGCATTCGTGCAACATATGACGCTTGATCGCGTTAAGTTAATCGTGTTATTATTTAAAACGTGTTGCATGGTGCACCTGACTTTCAACCTCGATGACGTCTGCGTAAATGTTTTGCAGCTGTTGTGTGCATTGATGTATCCAACGGGGATGCTGGTAGTAATATTTTTTATTGGACTCGTGTCGCACGGCAAATCTTAATCAAAGCGTAATATAAATATACAATAATAGTAATAAATATATAATAATTATAATACAGTAAAAAAACGGTAATAATAAAATGTGTATATACATACTTCGTTCGTGCGTTAGCTTCATTATAAATCTGCACTAATAATTTTTTTAAAGAGAGTTTTTCCAATTATCTGATTAAATTTTTAGAAAGTTTAGGTATGACAAACTCTATCGATTCATATATATCGTATTTTCTATGTGGCACGATTTCCTTGAATCGCTAGTCAAAAGAGATATACGGGAAATTGAACCGGTAGAAGTCGATCAAAACATAATGATACCTCTGGAAGGAAAAAATGTTTGAATGGATTCGCGAAAGCCTTACAAACGACCCGATAGATTCTACATATTCGAAATCGTAGAAAAGTAAACGGCAATAGATCAATCGAATTTCCGTTCCCGCGCGTCTACCGCAATACGTTGCCAGACACAAAGTAAATCGGAACAATATTTTATCAGCGACGACTCGTGTATTCTCTCTAACGATCCTTCCTTCGTCCTGCCACGAATTTCCGTGCGTGTGACTGCGAAAACCCAAGACACGGTAGAGATAGAAGTATATAGCTAGGTACTAGGGACTGAAGGGGATGGCATTGGACGAGAATTAATAACGGACGCGTATATCGGTGATGTATCCTAGTCGTGTTCGGGGACTCCCCGTGGACTCTGCTGATGGAGATCTCGAGGGGGTTGCATTTGGGTGGTGGTGCACGATGCTGACTGAATGTGCCACCGACTGAATTATTATACTCGCGGCTCTCTAAATCATAAAAACAACAAATTGTACGTGGCTGAATGCGCGCCGTGAAGGGTACGTGTTCCTAGAACGCGTACCAGTCCGCCGCCATGGCATTTACGTATTTTTATACGGACATAGCAGCAGGCAGCGGCAGCATTTTTTGAATCGATTGAAATATGGAGTCACGGAGACGGCGGGCCAGTTTAATGAAAAATGGTAACTTCAGACTAGCGGGATTCGCGCGTTGTACGATGCTAGTGTACATGCTTCGGGTTGAAACCCCGTTGATCCCTCTGAACCCTTGTCGACTGTGTGTTGTCACGCGACGCTCCCATCGAAATGTTTCCCGCCGAGTTGATCCACCAGACTCGTTGGGAAAGTTTCACAGAATGGATATTAATGATCTCGCGACAGCAGATGCGCTAACGTTGAGGGTGAAAATGTTTGGTTGCGTATCGCGTACGCATTTTCACGGGTAGTTTGTCACGCGTAAAAATCTCACTGGGAGATACATACGTGTCTGCGCCCATGCCTTTTCGAATATTTCACGAGTATGAATCAAAATGGTCACAGAGAGTATCGATTCGGATTAGGAATGCGGCTCTGTTTGTTCAGAAATGTACATACACGTGGAAACAAGTAATTGAATCGAATGTGCAAGGAAACCACGCGTATCCATTCGACTGCAGAAGCAGATGACTGGAAGCTCCCGTTTACACGATCTAATACGGATTTGTCAGCACACGATTCCGAATCTCCCCAAAATCCGCTGAAATCTGCGATTATCGTGCGCAAGAGAAAGCCCAAGGCCCAAACTCTATTGGAGGTCGATTCAGTTTCCGACGTTGTGTCCTGCTAGATTTGAGCTTCCGGCCATGGCACCCTCTCGAGGCATCGAATGGTACGGTCGAATTGGGAGCATACCATGGCTCGAATAATGCTGCTTGCAGCTAGATCCGTAAAGTCCTCTCAATTATGCGGCGATGCTAATTACTCGCGAGTGCGCATTGAAGAACGTCCTTTAGCCCGCACAACGACCCTTCACAGAGCTTGGTCTACCGTTTCGTTCTCTCCTCGTTATATCGACGAAGGATGAAACGGAATCACGGGAATTCTTGATTGGACGCATTTGTACGATAGTTTACACTCTTCTTCTATAACCGCGATTAGATCTTTTCACAAAACGTCCACACATTTTCCTTATTAAGAAAGTTTAATTCTGCTACTTTGTACGGACTGGTAATGTCAGTGTAAATCAGAAATGGAATAGAAGATTGATAAGTTTGGAACTTTTTCAATTCATCTAACATCCTGTATGAGTTTACTTCTTTCGCGAAATCTTTACTTTTCCTGGAGAGGCGTTACCCTGTTTCTTCCGATTCTAGGTTAAAAGAATTCAAGCATCTCAAGAGACTTAAAAAAGTTATTTAATAAGAAGATAGGAGACTCGGTGTGATTAGGATTACGTTAAATTTTGCGGCTTCGCGTGCCTCGGATGTGTATTCCTTTCTTTTACCGCGGTCTTGATTTTAGTTAACGACTTTCACCCTAACTGCGCTACTAAACGTGACCATACCGCAACGCTGCGGTAAATGAAAAGCAAACGCCGTGCTTGCTGCGGAGACCGAGGGATTGGCAAACATCGGTTTCGACGCGCGGCTGATGAAAAAAATTTCAATTAACCGATGCACTAGATCGGACGCGGGGTAGGGGAGACAGGATCGACGATGTACGCTTTTCGTACTCTCTACAGCCTAGCCGAAAAAAAGTGAAAATTAATTACTTCGTCGTTGACGCCAGGACCGGAAGAGGGATCGATCGTCCGCTTGATAGGATTAAATTGCGCGCCAGGCGTTTACCTTTTCCACGTGTTCTTTTTTTCTTTATTTTTATTTCTATTTTTTTCGCGACGATACTAACGCATCACTCTTCTGATGCTTTTCGTTGGGCCACTGATGATACACAACGAAAGATGATTACGTTATGGCAGAAGAGAGGGGTGAATATCTCTCTGGCAAAGTTCTTCTTCCGATGTCTCCCCGTGGAAAAGGGATTTGTTGTGACGTTGAAGAAAGAGTCGATGTTTCAAAGGTACTTCCGAGAGTAGGTTGAGCTCAAAATGGATTTTCATTTTTCCCAGAAATTTATATTACAAATGGAACTTATTAAGGGTACGATTACGAAGAAGCTACTACACGATTTCGATGAAGATTATAAATTTATTATGCGCGTTAGGTTATGCAAGTACGTTGAGATCTTGGATCTCGAATGAGGAAATAGGAGAAACAAAAGATTTTTTATTTGACGTCTAATCACGATGATTTCAGTTCGCGTAAAGGTAGGAAGCATGCTCTCGTTACCGAGCTCAAAAACACGCCTTTATCACGTTCAGAGTCGCTTGTTACGGAAGCTACAATGAAACCATCCGTCCTTCCAATTATAGTCTCCTCGTCTTCTTTTTCTTCGTCTTTCTTTATTTCCCATACACCGAGCAGAATCTCCGAACCAATGTTCTTGAAACGTTTAAATAATAAGAGAGACGCGAAGTGCTAATTATCTCCACTGAAAAGAATTCTATTTACACCGTTCTCGTAGTTTCCGCGAGAAAATTACTCTCAACCTGCATAAAAATCGCAGCTCCGCGTGCAAGACTTGGAAAAATTCCCTCGAGTGAACCGAGCTTCTGCCAAGTAACTTTTATCAGGATTAAAGGGAAAAATCGTTCTCGATATTTACTTCTTTTATTATACAATCGTCCGTATTTTCGAGTAAATAACGAGCAGGATAAAAAGAGAGCAAAACGAGAGAGATAGAAGTAGATGTGTATAACACTCGTGTAACGTCAATAGAGGTTCTATCGATGGCGAGAACAAAGAACTGTATTCGACAGCGTTGAACGCGTCTCAATAACGATTCCCCGATGGCTGACGAATTAAACCATTCGCATTTTCCCTAAACCCCAATCCGCATAATTGATGAAACGCTAGTTGAAGCGGGGCGTTAATTTTTTGACCTCTTGCAATTGTACAGGGGCGATGGCAGCGCAAGATTGGGGGCTGGAGAGACTACGAAGCGTACGGTGACTGGATAGTTGGGCGCGATGTAACACAGTCGACTTCACTGATTGCCAATATGGCGGAGGGTATAGAGAACCGCGTCTCTCTATCTCGATCAGCGTGGATCCACAATGTGCCGCGGGCGTTAATTCCCCCGTGAAACGTATTGCACCCCCGCGATTCAATTGTTCCAGCTCCGCGGCCACAGTGCTTCAAGCTGCACTGCTGCGAACGAGTCGTATGGAGCTCATAATGATGTAATTTTCGAAGTGGTGGGCGTATCATTGTCGTTACCGTTCAGACGTGTTCATTGTCGGCACGTACTCGTGAACTCGAGGAACGTAGAACACGCGAATATCTCATTGGGCTCGTCTTTGATTACGATTCTTTGCCAGACGTACTCTTGTTTTGACTCTCGTATTCGAATATTATGATTACTTAGTATGGAAGTTTTTGCAGGCTCTTTTCATACGTAATAACATAATAGAGCATAAGTAATAACAATTTTTCCAATGTAAAAGCAGACCATTAGACGTTTGTACTTTGGTTCTTTATCTGTTTCGTAGAAACCCCGTGATGTAGTTACATCGCCCATATATGCTGTTAAACGATACACACGGGTACCGTGAAATCGTGACCATTTATTTTACATCTGTACTATCATTTGTACATATGTACGTGCCATTACGTTTGCAACGTGAAAGGAAAGAATGGAGAACCCGATGTCTTTTGAATAATTCTAAAACGCGCACGAATGTTTTATTTAACGATCAGTGAACGGGATAACGAATCTTTAAAAGACTTCGAAATGCAACGTCGGTTAAATGGTCAACGGAACATCGATTTTGTTCAGTCACAAGGGCCATCACGAACCCGTTGCCAGCCTTTATTTCGTGGCATCGATTATTCATGGCACCGCGTCACTTTCGTGGAAACCTTTTATCTCGATAATGTTGGCTAACCATCTATCTGAAGGTTGCTAACCCCGCGAGTTGTACAACACGCGATGGATACAAGAACACGTAACTGAAATAAGAGACTTTCAGCATCTAATGACAAGAATTGCGAGAAATTGTTCTATGTGCAGTTTGCATTATTTTCTTTTGCTTGCAGATAAGCTTGGGGAAGCACGTTTCGGTCGGTGAAGTAGTCACGTATTCACCACATCCAGAGAATCCGGAGACAACGCTTTTAACACAACAGGCAGTAATTTCTATCCAAGGGGTGCCGCTCATAGACCATCTAGAAAGGTTACTGACACTAACGATCGAACAAAACGCGAATAAGGTTAATACTTCTATCTTTTAGTAGCTTTGAATTTAATTGTTTAATGAAGTTTCACGCAGTATATAAATTTAGTTTTGTTTGAACGACAGTACAAGTTCGAGCTTTTTATAGAATCTTTACGCACTTTAAATTTAGAACGAATCAATGATTTATTCGATAGATATTTATAGGTCTCTTCATGTGCAAAGATTTCGTAAGAGTTTGCTAATTATGCTGAAATCGCGATACACAGGTGCAAATTGCTTGATTTTCGCACGGTAACGATGTGTTTTCGTTAACGTTTTCGGTAACGATTCCGTTTCAGGGACGACAAGCAGTGGAATGGGTCATCGAGAAACTCCAATTAGAAGTGAAAGATATCGCGTCCACTGCCGCGAAATCGACAGACGACTTACTCAATCAAACGCGTCGGCAATTCGATGACATCACGAATATTACGAAACAGGGCATGGAAGATATTCAAAACGTAGCGAAGAAGTCATTCGATGAGTTTCAGAATTTGACAGTACCACCTCCGTCACAGTCGATACCAAAGTTATAGCTAATATATCACGCTAGCTTCAATCTCTTTAACTAACGCCATGTAATCTTCGATGGAACGATTGTAAATGAAATAAAACGATTCGATGAGAAACAATTCCCTTCACTATAGTTTCGGTGCTATTTCCAAAAGTATACACGGGAGGGACGGAATTAACAATTTTTATATTGTTGCCCAATAACTGTACAGCCAATAAGATTGATGAGTTAATCTATTGAACTGTTATCAGTTAGAAGACTATTTTATCAAATGTATAAATATCAAATTATATAAATGAATTTTTCATATGGATATAATATATTTTTTAGAGCTCAGAGAGAGACTTGATAATTTTCGAATGAAGGAATAGAGGTGTTGCAAACAAGGTTATCGGTGAAAGTACAAAATAACGTTAGTTTACTAATTTATATAGAAATAAAAAAGAAACATTTTTTACCGTCAATCGTTCCGCAGAAGTCGCTTTAGTAAAAGAGATGTGGCTGCGGTAGTTAATGAAAAAGAGATAACTGATAATATCACGGCTCAATATTAAAAGGATTCGTTTTTGCAGAAATTCTGTTGAAAGCAACTTGCTAACGAGAAAGTCATTGAAAATATAACAGTAACGTATTTTATAGACAGCTGGTATGTTTTATGTACGTGTTGTCTATGAGACTGATTGAACATTTCACCAAACGCTTATTTCTTTAGCTTTATATTTGTTTGAGTATTAAGCCCACAGAATTCTTTAAAACCATGTCAAACGTTGTCTGAGGCAGTTGTGCCTTCAAACGTGTCTTCAACCTTATACGTGTTCAAACTTAGTCTTGTCGTAGTGTCAGCGACGTATCTTTCCTATAGTTGCTAAAAAAGAGCATATCAATGTAATTAATCATTTGCATAAATGTGAGGCTTGTGCAATTGCAGTAGTAGTTAATTTAGTAAATAAAGCGCAACATAAATCATAAGAGGACGCAACAAACTAGATACATCGCGTAACATTTAGTGCACAGATAATTCATGTCAATTGATCAGGATCTAAAGCAGAGCTTAAGTTCGTCTACTCTGATAGTTGAATTGGAGACCATAAAAGCCGAAATATATATATTTATTTTCAAAGCAACAGGTATATTATATTGTTTCCTATCGTTGTTACAATTTATTATTACAATAATGAATAAATTCAATTATAATAATGATGAACAAATTCAATAGTAAATGACTATAAGAACACGTAAGCTGTCTCTGTTTTAGCCAGTTTGCGGTCACTCGCGATACGGAAAGAAATAAGAAAACCCAGGTCCATCTTTGGAAAACGTTGTCCCAGGTGGTTCGTCGATACTCGTATCATTTGAAATCGTACGCCACGAAATACCTGATATCTCTACTCGACGTCCCTGTCCTCCTCCGATTTCCCTGAGGGAATATTCGCGCGAGTCAGCGAGTGCTACCACGCGTCGAGAACGAAACACACTCGTATAATACGGGCCAAGTATCGATTCAACGATGGAGGACTGGTCTCGACATTCCGCCCGAGCAATTTCCAGCGAAGCGGAATTTCGACCGGGTCATTATTGTTCTCGGTGGTCTAGAGACAATTTCCATCGGTTTACTCAAATCTGGCTGGCCAACTCTCTAGGTAAGTAGAAAGAGGGACAATGGAGAGCGAATAGGTGGGATAGAGAGAAAGAGAATGAGGGAAGGGAAAGAGGGTGGATAGTGGCACGTGAGGTCTGCAATCGTGGCATCGTGCATGGGGCAGGAAACAGACGAAATTTGACATCAGGCTTGACCAGTGGTATGTAAGAGATAATTGATGACGTTACGGTTCATCGCTCGCTACTCGGTTACCGGACATAGACAAATATTGACAGCTTCCGATCACAGAGCCGCTAGTATCCTTTGTAGGTAGCTCACGCACACGATCCTCCGATGTCTGTTCGGTTTTCCTGTCGAATCACTTCGCTTAGTCTCTGGTACGTTAGTAAATCAATGTCCCCTGGACGTGCATGTCGAGCAAGTTTCGTAAATTAAAGTGGCCTCGTTTGTTCCTATAAAGCTTGCCTGTGGCTATTGGTTGCACGTGACGTCGCGCACCACGCTTTGAGGACAAAGTGGCAGTTTTCCCTTTACCTTACTTTTATTATAGTCGGTCGTGCCTGTCTTCATGCCACTCCGGCCGGAACACAAAATTGCAGCCGGAAACTTAAGCCCGGGAATTTGAAGGGTTCTCCGGCCAGTGAATCGGAGAGGAAGTACAGGTGACCGAACCTTCAGCCCGGGCATAGCTTCGAGCGCATCAATGACTGTACCGCGTTGCATTGTTCATCTTTAATTGTCTGTACGGTTCTCACTTCGGTATTTTGCAAGCGAGTGCACCTTCAAAGGAAGCACCGTGGCAAATCAGTTCATAACAAGTTTTGCAAAATTCGATTAGGTACCTTCCTTATTCTGGATCGTTTGCGGCGAGACAAAGGGTCGCTTGTTATCTAACTGTTATCGTTCTTGTACTCTATATAAGTGCTTAGTATTTCTATCAAATTCATTCTAAAACTTGCATAGTTAAATTCTGATTAACGAATAATATCACTTATTCGTTCAGTATTTTTTTCATTTTATTACAACAGTATTATCAAATAAATCTTGGAGTCTGATATTCAACTGCTTGAAAATATTCGAGTTAGCTTGTTTAAAAGCTACTCTCGAGCTTTGAAAGGAATATTGTCAAGGCTGTCCTTGGCTGCTCCATTTTCCATTCCTTTAGGTTCAGCGCCGAAAGAAAAGGAGAGCTTCAAAGGCTCGAGCGGCTGTCGAAAAGGCTCATGGTTTACACATCGTGACGTTACTTTCTCGTCAAGGCTCGTAAAAGCTCTCGGGACGATCGACTGTAAAAGTCGGCGACACGGTCAAGAAGATCCTTCTTGATTTTCCGGTTCTCAATTCACGAGCTCGTGAAAAACCACACTCCACACATTCCCGGTCACTGCCTCGTTTATCCATTCCTTTCTATTCTCAACTTTTTCATTGTTCTCTTGACTTTAAGAGACGACAGCAAATTATTCGTTGGTAGTTGAGAATTTTGTTCGGAATAATAAATTCAATTCTTGATTCTCTTTTTCGATGTATTAATTCGAGAACTCGTTTGGAAGTTTGCACGGTTCCATCGAAATTTTCTACAATTTCGAGAATGACCTTTTCAGCGAAATTGATCGTTCGAATAATTTCAATGAACAATTGAATTAATTTGAATTAAAATCAGTTTGCTCGATTTATTTTTAGTACCTTCTCTATTATTCTATTAATGATCGTTCAATTAGCTTAAAACGAAGTTTAATACATTTGAAAGTAGCAAGAAAAAATAGTGTATCATATAGGAATTTGATCATCAACATCAAAAGTATTATAGAAAAAGATGAAAGCAAATATAAAATAAAAAGATGAAAGAATGGTTCTTAAATGAAATGGGGACAAGGTATAACAGGTTATATCTTCTTTTTTCCGCATGGCTCCTTTCGCAAAACTTGATCACATGAAATTAGCTCGTGTCAACGTCGTATCACAGAAATTGTACGGCGAGAAACAGTGAAGATTCGTGTGTGTAGGTGGTATAACGCAGCTACGTAGGTAATAACGGGAGATGTTGAGCTGTTCTGGGCGACGTGGCGCATACGCTCTGCCTATTAGCATACAATTATCTTTATGCTTCTTTTATGATTCATATTTAGTACCAGTCTCGTCCGCTTTTCGCTTCGTCGACCAGCGCAGCTTCAAGTTTGCAACTTTTACGATCGTGCTTGTTTCTAAACTTAACGTCCTCCGGTTTTCACCCCTTATCATCGTTTCTCGGTGCAACGCTGGTATTCTTGCTAAACGTGCTTTTGCAAATATTCGCAACATCGGCAGCGAAAGGGGGAGGGGGAAGCTCGAAAATTTGTTGTCGTACGTGCTGAAAATCAGCAACAACTATTGATTTCGTTCACGCCCGTTTTTGTTCGTCGTTACGAACCAAACTCATCCAATGGCAAGGAAGTTCATTGAATAGTTTTTATGGTTTTACATTGTCCCAAATATCGATAAAGCGACGCATAAAATATTTAAAATTGGAGAGATTTTCTTCTGTATTTTTTGGTAGAGACAAAATAATTGAACCGTGAAAAAGATTAAAAGAATAAAATTGGATAACAAAGAGGTAGCTACGCATCCCCAGAGTACCATACCATTTCGTACGGTGTATGGGTTTGATCGTGGTTCCAATGACCCGGCATTGCTACCGGCTACAGTTGAACATTAATTTAATTAATTCAGATCCATTTGCAGTCGCACGCGAGCTAGCCATTTCGGCATTTATTTTGCGCCATTTGTACTTTATTTTTTACAAAATCCGAACCTACTATGATTGTCTAGAATATGTGTATAATGCGAAATTTGTTTACCCAATCTAGATTCTAACCTCGTTCGTATTTTCATCGTTTTCTCTACTCTTCTTTTTCTTGTCTCATCTTTGTGGCATTATGCCATTTTAGGTTTCAAAGGAAGATAATGCGATAACAATTTTTTAATGATGAAATGATACTAGACACTTTTTTAACGACACGTGTAATTTCCTAATTATTTTATAATTGAATCTTTAATTAGTTTGTAAAATTCCATTAAAATTTGGTAAGCTGCCCGAGAAAAAAGTTTCAGTCTGTTACATAACTTGTGACGCTCTATAAATTAGTAAGGAGGGTCGTTCTAGATCGTTGAGATCGATTCAGATTTTAGTAGTTTTAGACCACATCCGGCCGAATGGCTAATAACGGACGTGCTCTGACTACTAATCGGCTTTGCGGAGATTTCCTGATGTACGAAGGGGTGTATGGGCTAAACGCTACGGGGAGGAGGGTCAAAGGGCAAGATTAGATGCTTACGATAGACTTCTACGGGGTTTGTGCATAATGCGTAGCTCCTCGATAATTTGTCCACTAATAATAATGTTCATCCAAACAAAATACATTCCATTTTCATGTAATTTATACCTAACACGAATAAAATGGGAAATTCTTTGCTAAATCGTGTGAATAATTCCTGTAATTTTTATCCGATTACACTCTTCTTCTTCAAAATCCGTTGACTTCTTAGAACCTGATACGGAAAAAGAAAATTGCGAAGAAAATTACGCCGAATCACTATCTCGATTTTCTTTCTCTTTTTTTTTTTTTTTTTTTGCTTTCTCTTGGAATTAATTTATCTAATCCGACCAAGTACTTCCGTTGAGACTTCATTTACATGTAATCCGGGAACAGTTGATTGTATCTCTAATTGCTTGGCGGCGAACACTGGAACCGATGCTCGTGAAGTTTGTTATAATATTAATTTCTTATCGTTGATCTTGCGCGGCGACGCTATTCTCCGAATATCGCCAGTTTCACCTTCCATGTGCAAACATACTATGGGAACTAGTTGGTTGAATATCTTGCGATCTCTACGAAGCAGGAAGGTGTAAGTACCGTGTTAGTCTTTGGGGTTACGTCGCTGCTCGCAGAGCTAACTAATAGCCTCTTAGCCTCGGCTTAGGGAGGATCATGCTACAGGCAGCCGCACCCTCCATTGCTCTAAGACTCAGACCGCACATCCTCAGCCCTTAGTGCAATCCTTAAGCCACGCCAGGCCTGCAAACAACCGATCTCCTTCTCGAACGTAGACGATGGATTAACGATAATGATTGATTGGATTCCACATTCTTACCTATCTTTCTTTCCAACGACATACCGAACGACCTGGTCTTAAACGACTTAAATTAGGTTGTTACTCGGATTCTGTTCGTAGATTACATGGACTTGGTGGCTATCTAGAGAAAACGATAAATCTTTATTTCGAATACAC